GTAGCCTGTTTAAGTGAGCTAAGACAAACCGTTTCGCCGTATTTAGGACTGTATCCACATTAAGATCCTTGTGTATACTTTCATTTTTAATGTACTATACCTTGTTCTAAACCGTTGTATTATTTCTAAATTGCTCTTAGCTGTACAGCCCCAAAGCTGAATGCCATATGTCCACATAGGCATTATCACTTGTTTATAATTAATTTTATTTAGTTACATATCTTTTCATACACGGACGTTGATACGCACGTGAATTGGATAGAACGCAATCACACCAACTCGATTAAAGAAAAACAATAAGACTATGATTAGATGCATTCATTTGTGTCAGTAGCGGCTACAAATACGTACGTTCTATGCAAAAACGTCGCTACGATTGCGTCGTGTGCGTATTGTACGTTGATCAAAGGTGAGGCGACTGTTTCGCGTTTGTAAGTCAATTGGAAACGTCCTTCGACAACTTGTCGATCTTAGATTTACGTTTCAGTTGGCAAATGCCTGGCCAAAGTAATGATTTCCTCAGGGACATTGAGATATTTACTTTTGCACCCGTTTGAGCTTAGAATTATTATTGTAATCACTTTGATAACACATTAATGTTTGCCTAAATCTACATCATGTAAAAATCAAAATAGTTTATTCATATAGGTAACCAATATACACTTATGAATGTTAAAAAAGAAATACATGCTTCTAATTTTACATTTACAGCCAGCTCTCAAATCAAGAGCGAAGAACGGAAGAGAACTGGCAAAAAACTCTCCGCCACTCTTAATCGCCAAGTTTTTTGTTTTACACAATGTTTGTAAGTTGCAACCATTACACCATGTTCCACATGACATCTTAAATAATAAATAGTTAATTCATAATAATAAAATAAATTAAAAACAAAGATTTGTCCTTTATCAACAGGAGGCATGGTGAAATAGGAGCAGCGCATTTACATTCTCGTGGGCACAACACGAAAATACATAGTCGAAATAACTAACATCACCAAATACACGAATTCAAGTCCGACCAGTCACCACAAGTAGCACCCGTTCACGAGTATGATACATAGTCAGCCATCGGCCCCCTCTCTATATTTTAGGGAGAGAGACAACCCGACGTATATTGGAATTAATGTCTATTTCTTTCCTTTATTGACAACCGCAGGCACTAGACATATCTAGTCAAAGTACCCAAATCGGTCCGTCAATGTTGTATTAAAACAATAAAAACGCAGTTGCTGGTTTAGATAGAGAAACAATTAAAAACATAGATGATTATTATAGAACGTGTTTCTATTAATATTTGTGACATTTGTATGATTTCTCACGTGAATGACGCATTTCTAAGAGTATTGCTCCTAAAGTACGATTGAGCCTTACAGTAATAATCGACGTTTACTTGAAATCAACTCAAATTAAAGTTTTCATTTTTAAATATCGTCAAAATTGGAAGCAAGAAATATTTTTAATTGAGAATCCAATCAAAAGTTTTTTCGCGCTCGTTTTTCTTTTATCTTAATAACTCATTTTTCATCGATAGATAGGGTTCCCCACGGCGCGGCGCTACGTCCGTCCGACGAAGGACCGAGCAATAAAAGTACACTAGTATGAATTTTTCCCGATTCATAGCTTTTTATATGGACGTCCTGATTTTTTTATTATTTATTTATAAAAACACTCCTACCCTAAATTGACAAAACTGAATAAAATTTACCTTTCGCCTTATTCTACATTTGTAGAAAAAACCACACTAACAATAGAAAAATAGTAGTTTATGCAACTGTCATATAATAGAGGGTATTAAAACATGAGTGTTTTAATACCTAATTATATGCAGTTGCATACACTACTTTATTTAATCTCATGGCTATAGGTTTCCAAGTCATATAGTCTTGGTAACATTTGTCGTACGCTTTTCTTGATTTTTCTTGAAAAACTATTCGTAAGTTTCGTAGCTGTTTCTAGAATGTCAAGTGGAGGTAAATTTTCATCGGTATCGTCGGTGTTCCTTGACATTTTTGCTACTAAAGTTTTATCCAACAAAATATTACTCAAATTCGTATGTACGAAATAACGCCAAAATTGAAAAAGTCTGTTAATGGTCTATTAGCTCGGAACCAGCGCTGTCACCACAGATAATGTGTACTTAAATTGAATTGAAACCTCCATAGTCGGGACACATTGTAGTTTAATAATTAAAACATTATTTTAAAGCATTGTTTTGTGAGGAGAATAATGCTTTCATTTAATTTTTAAAAGTCTGTTTTTCATTTCATAATTAGAATATTACCGAATGAGATTATATAAAAAGTATTTAATACATTGAAAGTTTTATTATAACGCATTATCTAGTTAAATAAAGTTTATTTAAATATCACTAAATAATTATTACTAAATAATTAAAGAAATGGACATTTTTTATTTTAAAATGTTGACTATGCTAACTGGGTGTCGGTTTTTTGTGACGGTGTGCGCGCGCATCGTAAAAATTTACTCTCATAATTTTTCCCCATCGCGCCAAAGGAAGTATAACTTCAAAAAGCAAACATACGAAATTAATTAGGAAAAACAAAATTACATAATAAAAAATACAAGAAACTCAACGGAAAATAAAAAGGTATACCTATGTAATTCATTAACTAAATTATATATGTGCCCATTTCAGAAGGTTAGTCCTAGCTGTGGGCACACGATATCGGTTACATAGAAGGATACATAGAAGCTAAGGTACTGAAGTACTGTCGAATTACTGTCCTAAATCCTTGCCATGTAACAATTTAATGAAGTACATCACAAGTGATGTTTACCTACAGTCCTCGTAGGACTAATAATAATTGTTTAGTACTAGAAACGTGCAATGTTTGCAAACAGCGTTACACGGAACTAGAAACAAAAGATGCAGGTGCATTATAATATAGTATAGGTACAAACGACAAAGTCACCGCTTATCGCTTGCAGTTCGTTGCGTTGCATTACACCATCGCTTGAGTTCAGCACCTCGACCTTGTAATGGAACGTAATTAAATACACTCCGAGTATGCCGATATAATCTCTTATACTACTGATACAAGACCGATACGGAAATTGTTCATACCCGTTAGAAAATATTAATAGATTTCACTTACGGCTTCCAAAATACACATGAATTCTAATATATCAAAATCAGCTCGCCTGTACGTTGTACAACATTATTGAAAAAAGAAATACAGTCAAAACCGTTAACGACGACATCGTTTGGAACAACATACCGGTTATATTGAACAAAATCAAAGGTCCCGGCTGAATTCTATTGTATTAGGTACTTAATAACAACGTCATCGGCTGTTACGACTATCGGTTTTTACGACCAAATATGAGCAGTCCCTTCGATGTCGTTTACAGATTAACCTTCCAACTAGTTCACATTTAATTGCAAAACAAATTAACAATATCAGTGACCGAACAATAAGTCGGCTTTGACAATAAATTATATATATATTATATAATGTACCCGACATTATTTGTCTTAGGGATGGTGGGGTACAATAAATTGGAAACCAGACGGGACTTACAGTTGGCTTACTACGTACTGAAAGTCTTGAGGGGTGTAGTGTGCAACCCAAGTGTACTCCAAGAACTGGGTCTCTTAGTACCTGTGGGATATGTGCGAAGGCGAAGGCCTAGGTTATTTGCGATACCAAGGGCAAGAACCAGTCTGTTGCACAGATCCCCGTTATCAAAGACGTTGCGCCTACTGAATGCTGTCTCCGACACTATCGACATATTTATATGTTCCCAGAGTGAATTCACAGTAGCGATGTTGTGTATATTATGTGTACTTTATTATATTTTATTTAATGTTTCACGACATTATCGTATTGGCATAGTCTGTAAGGATAATGTATGTATTTCTGTAATAAATAATTATATTGTATTGGCAAGTAATATACAAACACGGTTATAAGGAGTAGATGATGAATGAAGGTGGCGGAGACCATTAAGTGGGTAATGGTCCCTCTAGAGAAGATCACAACTGCCGACACACGTCAAAGCGGCCCACACGCGATGCGCCCTCTGCGTTTTGTTTCAACTCCATTACAAATCATGGCGACTCCACTTAACATAGATCAACTAGTAAACGCGATATAAAACGCATATTATAAATGCATACAGCGCTTTCTTGCACCTTACTTGATGGTAATGGGCCAACCAAAAAGAATAAATCAAATAGGTATCTTTACAAGATTCCAAGAAGATAGGGAGACCCTACTCACAAAAAGGTTTCACTACGCTTATAAGTAAAGTTTTTCTTTACTATAGAAAAGCCTTATTTTTGACACTAATCTTATTATTCATATTCTACGAGTTTTTTTAAATAAAAGTACCAAAGTGAATTTTAATTACATTTTAAAAAGAAGGCCATCCAATATCGATATTGGTTTCTCTATCAAGGTTCTCGTTTAATATTAATCTAAAATAAAATTAGTCAACTAGTAAGTCGATTCAACCGTACCTACTACTATATGGGGAAATATACAATAATAATATTCAAGTTACGTCCATTATAAAATATATGACGACTCATTATATTATTTATGCTTAGGTTTTTACGGATTACCACACCGTGATGTAAATTCAAACGTATTTAATGATTGTGTACGAATGAGATTAAGAAAAGTTAATATAAACATTTATCAGTATTTCTCTCGACTTGACAGTTGTGTAATTTAGAACACTTCAAACACACCTAGTGCATCTCTTTCTTTGCGATTTAAAGGTAACAAATTACACGAAGTTCGCATTATATACGTAGGTATAGTATTACTTTATGCTTACTACAAAATTATAAACAATGGTTTTATATATTTCGCGTGAAATAAAACATTTAATAAGAAAAATATTCCGCACAAAACTTTTGCAACTTACACAATAAAGAATATATTAAATACATTACGGTTGTGTAACATTATTTTAAATCAATGACTAATGTAACAAGATATGTAATGCAGTTTATCAAATGGGATAACTCACTGCACGTCGAAGGGGTAGTGTAGTGGCTGAGGTACGTCATGTAGCTGCAGGTAGAAGTCCTGCATACGACCGAATTCGCGCGTCATGGCGCGCAAAAGCGGCTTGGCCTTTCGGGCGACAACCGCACTACGCCGCGGCTCGCTGATCACTATATATTATTCGAGGTACGGGCTGCGGAGTGCGATCCGAGCAGCGCACCGACCGCCCACAACCCTCGCTAGTTTCTGATAAGCGCGTAGAGGTGTGATGGGCTACGTGAATAGAAAGGAGACACAGGAATTCGGACACATTTATAACTTACCAACAACTTAATTAGGAAAATATGTAAGTTGATGGTAGCAACTTGGCAATCTGGATAAAATAAACAGTAGGTACCCGACATTTGACTATTTGTGTCTCAAGTTCCTCCATTGATATCTAAAGATCTATATATCTTTATTTAATATATAATTAGCTATTTCTTTTAAAGGAATGCAAGGAGGAAGATATACAATTTTTAATTTTGAAAACATAAGACTAGACAAAACCCTTCGAGCTCTACATAACAAATATGATAAAATAATTAAAGCAATTTATAAAATCAAAACGACTGTTACAATAAAGTCAAAGGAAAGTGTTCTCTTCGGAAGTCATACAAAGTTAGAGGACGACAAAGTTTTTCTTTTGTCGCTAAATAATTTTTCAGGGGGTGAGAAGCATCGTAACCTACTCGTTCTAGCGGCGAACCCGATTATGTCATTATTTACGAGAACCCTTTAACTCTGGAAAACAATTATTAAACTAGGTGTTGCTGTTGTTCTTTATAACGTCTTCTGTTTCTCCGACGCCCTGCCCGAACCAGGCGTGGTAGTCGGCCAATAATAATAATAATAATAATAAAAACTTTATTTATGACAAAAAGGTTTGTGACAGAATTCATATATCGCTAGTCCCCACACTAGGGAGGCCCTGTGTTGTGGGTAACTAGAAAACAATTATTACGTGGTACATGTTTAAATTTAGTGTTACAAATGAAGTGAATGAGTGAGTGTGTGAATAGGTGTGTACATGCGCATGTATTTGAGAATGTAGCTGAAAGTTATTATGATCGTGCACTGTGTCTGTGTTAGTTTATGAAACCTCAAAGTCATACCAAGATATGTAGTAATGCCTCTGTAGATTCGAAATCCAATTTGGCTAGTGTAGTTTCTATGTGACTTGCTAGTTTATATCTGGATAGTTTTACGATCTCAGAATCCATAGATTTGGAAATTTTGGCGTTGGGAATACATTATACAAAACGTCTGTTCTTAGACGTGTCCTGATTTGTGAGCCCATGGAATCTATGATATCTTGAACAGGTCGCCAAGATGTAATGCTTCCTTACCGAGAGGGTTTTTGTTTCTAGGTGGAGTTTGACTGTGGTGTATCTAAACGATACAATAACGGCAATTTTATTGTTTTACTACAACTAAGGCAAGAAACTATGATTAAATAAGGAAAATATATTTGTCTATTAAGCCCGTGGCGTACGATACCAGATATCCGACACGTGACACTTGCCAGCTATTGATATAATTATTTTCTTCGCTTCTTTATAAAATTTGAAGTAACTGGAAATGACAAACTACTTAATAAGATACGCAGTACGAGCCAACCATTTAATGTAGATAATATATATCATATACCAGTAGACACAGATCGAGCGCAGGCCGTTGTGTGAGTGACGGTGACGCTAATCTCTTTCGCTGATAAACGTTGAACTACTGTTTATCACCGCTATGACGGCCGTCAAATGACAGCACCGCTATTTGACGTTACGGTGACACTCAACGTCTCTAGAAAACCCACTCCGATGTTATTTACAGGCAACGTATGGGTGACGTCACCCAACGTTACATTACGGCTGTTAGATAACGGCACCGCTTTTCTAGGAAACCGTAGCTTAAGAGATAACGAATTTTTATGCAGTTTCCATAACAGGGTTGTGTTTGCAAAATCGGATTACGAAACGAACGTTATGGTAAAGGCATAGACAATAGACATACAGTTGATACTTTAAACGCCGAACTAAAATTGTTCTTTTCTAGCCGCCGTTCTAGTATTTTAATTATAGAAATCGATTTTAGTTTAGAAGATTTACTTTTCCCCGTGAACTACTCTGTTTTCTAATGTCGCAAATGAAATACGAAATCAATTTAATAATTTAATGATTATTAGAAAGATAATTGTTTGTGTCGAAGTTCATAAGTTTGGAAACAAACACATGGGCACCACTCGTGAACCCACCGCAATGATTGAGTTGGAGCCGCCACAAACTCGTAACAATGTATTGGGTGGTATTGTAAGCTAATATTAACCTAACTGGGGAAAGTTTACATTCAGTTCATGTTAGCCAGAACATAACATGGACTCTCCTTGCAGTCCGAATAACTTTACGAACAAATATGTAATTATGTATGTTCCGATGTATGATAACAAATTATTATTTATTATAAACAACACAACACATATAAAGCGTCGAAATCACTGGGCTTTGGTTGGTTTAGCTTGTCTTCCATACAAAGATAGTACTCACCTTCAATACCGACAAAAAAGAAATTCGTCCTTTCTATGAAGATGCCTTAATATCGCAAGATATTGTATAATAAGTAAAAAAATACAACCTTACGACTGATACAGTACAAAAATAACAGACAACGCAATAGCGCTAAAAACCGAATTGTTTTTATGTAATTACTAACACTAGTCTGAAATAAGCTTTCTTTTTCTAATACAGATTTTTCGTTCTATTTAACGGCAACTCTTTGTAACGTCAAAATAGGCACAGTCCTTTGAGTGTCGTTATACAGACACATATACAAAATTTACGAACAAGGAAACCTGTCTACGACCCGTTTGGCCGGCGGGGGGCACCTGTTGCATGCCTGTGACAGGCCCGCCTCGACCCCGATCCCTTCGCAAATTCGCTAAAAATTACGAGGAAAAGTTGTGAAAAATGATGAATATTTCGATTAACCTTCCGACTCGCAGAACTAACATTGGGTTCCGCGAGACTCTCCACAGGATGTGTTCTGCTTTGGATTCTGCCACTAACATCGAACCTTTTCCGCACTCCTCTACTGCTTCATTTAAAAATAATTTAAAACAACTATTAATTTCCTAATCCTTGTATCTTTCTTCTTTATTATAGCTACCGTACGGTATTCTACTGTGGGGTGCTGCTGCAGAGGTTCAATCCATAATTGTGCTGCAGAAGCGGGCTGTTCGGGGTATTTGTTGTGTTTCTCCTAGGGAGTCGGTACGGAATAAGTTTAGGGAATTAAATATTATGACACTATCTGGTCAATAATATTCTTGAAGCCTTGTTGTATAAACAAAAAAATATAAACGATTTTAAAACAAATGGTGACTTTCACCAGTATAATACGCGAAATAGAACTAATTTGAGTGTACGACCAACCAGGCTCCAGAAGATAAACCACTTATATGGAAATTGTATTTGTTTTTACAACAAACTCCCAAGCAAAATTAGTGAATTATTATCACTAAATAAATTCAAAGCCCTCGTTAAACGTAAATTAATAAATAAAGCTTTTTATAAATTTGACGAATGTTTAAATGATCTTAATCCTTGGGATTGACCCGCTCTATGCCCTTGACTTGCGAACAGATTTCAACATTTTGTGCTGTCACGTTTTGTTTTTTTTTTTAATGGCTCTGGCACGATTTGTGCATTAGCCAGCGTCAAGTATAGGATTTTTTTTATAATTCGTGCTTGTCTTTAGAAATTCGACCGTGTCCTTCATGTACGGTTTAAGCACTCGCCCGGTACCGCACAACCCTCCCAAAGAACGAGAAAAAATTTAAATTAAATTAAAACTTGCCCTCGAACCGGGAATCGAACCCGGTACCCCTCACCTAGCTGCCACTTAATAAGACTGCTAGGCTATGAGGCCTCCCACGTTTTGTTTACTTTGCTCTGTACCATATGTGTATATTTTATGTTTCATTTTTACTTTTTTATGAAAAAAATAAATAACAAATAATTGATCAATATCTCCTCAATTCTCATTGAACCATGCGTTGATTAACGGTAAACCCAAAACACGTGGAAATACCATCGGGATTCCAAATCTAATTGTATAGTTTAGATGTACCTATACTGATGATTATTTAGATTATATCTACTGGAAAATGTTATGCAATGAAACATATTACAATAGATTGAATACTGTCAGATGCAATGCTCGCATCTGTTCGAGCCACTGAGGCGGGTTAACTAGCCCTGACATAAAGATAACTCTGCTGATTTGCCTATTTAGCTATCTTAATCAGTAGCGCTACCACCTCTTTAGGTCTGGGACTCAGATTTCTGAATCTGTTTCATGATCATTTTTCGATCTAATATGCAAGCCGTCGACTTTTGGGTCTAAGACACGTCGGTTTCCTCACGATGTTTTCCTTCACCGTTCGAGCGTACCTATGTTAAATGCGCACAAAGAAAGAAAGTCCATTGGTACACAGCCGGGGATCGAACCTACGACCTGAGGTCAAACGCTGAAGCCACTAGGCCAACACTGCTCTAATTCTAAAATTTAGTTATCTACCAGTAATAACATTATTATTATTTGTTTCAATACTTAGCAGGCCAATTAATTTTTACGGCACCATTACAGAGCAAGCTGATACGAGATAATATTTTGACATATTGAAGCTATATATTATATATATATATTTACACGTGAACTTTTTGTGAAAAGGTATACGTAAACGAAGTACAGATACAAGGGAGAGCTCGTCGCTCTATACAAAATAATATTAAAATATTCGCATAAAGTTTGAAAATTGCGTGGTAGTTTTATTATAAAAATAATTATAATTACTTTTTGAGCCGAGAGATTGTTGCCTGGCTGGTAGGCATCCGTTAATAGAGTTTCTCCCCTAACCATTTCGCCGTCCAGTAATTAAACCACGGTATAACGTCAAAGGACTAGAGCAGTACGTAATATTAACTGTTTTGGAACTATATGAAGCTTTGAAATAAGTTTTATTTACTTAATCGATTGTATGTTGGTACTTAGCAGATACCAACTATTAAAGGCCA